TTCCATAGATAAGCCTCCGCCCTTCGACATAGTCTTGTCTGGGGATCCTCTCTGCCCGGAGGAATCTCCAACTACAGACCAACATACAGTATTTACTACTGTATTTATGTGAATGAGGACATACCCATTATCGTCCGTAGGTATGCTACAACACTATTAAAGAGAGAAGACAATAAAAGAACAAGAATTAAGAAGATAGCGATCGACATTGCATTTACATTTTGGAGATCAAAGTTGACAGGGAAACAAGAAACCGGTAGAGAGTTTCACAAGTGCGAGAGAAGAAACTATTAGCATACAAGTTACGATTATATCTGGCCAGTTCAACTGTAAAATGATGAGACCTTTCCGCCAATCAAGTACTGCGCTTAAATCCATTCTTATGCGAGTAAACTAAATCGCAATCTTGATAGCAGAACATGGCAGGGATAATAAAAATAACATTGTAAAGATCTAAAAAAGATTTTATGCTTCAGAGAGCTATGATCGCCTATATCTTTAAATCGCCTTCTAGGTGCTACATAATTGATGGTCGTAGAATATGAAAACGACCTGAAAGTAGTGATAAAAATCAATAAAAATCGGATGAAATGCAACCTTATTTCTACTTTGCTCATTGTCACAGATGTAATGTTGAAAGCCAGTCGCTATACTATTGCGCTATTGCCATGCAAAATGAAACCCTCTATTCTTTAGTTCCTTCAGTTCAGGCCTTTATTGTTAGCACATTCCTCGCTACTTCCACGGAGCACATCATACATTTTTCCTGAGCGTTCCCAGTATCAGAAGGCAGTTCCACTGCGACAGCTTTTCGTCAAGAACTACCGCACTTTTTGAAATAGATTCACACGCGAGGGCTTCCCTGAATCCTTTATGTTACGATTCTTGCATACGCTCATAGTTTCTTGTTAATGATTTTCTAAAGAAACAGACAAAAGATTAGCAAAGAAAACGTTCACATGAGAGACATGGATTAACCTTTTGAACCCTGACCACAGCTTTACCGGTGGTAGAGAAAAATGACGTAATGCACAGCAACTGGTTGAACAGTAGTAGAGAAAAATGACGTTATGCCCAGCCATCGGTTAAACAGTGGTCGAGAAAAATGACGTAATGACCAACCACCGGTTGAACAGTGGTCGAGAAAAATGACTTAATGCTCAGCACCTGATGAACGCTGGGTAAACACTTGAAATATCTACCTTGAAATATTACATACCAATTATTTGCGAATTTTGACTCAGGAGCTCAAGCGGAAGGGTTCAAATTGTTCAGGAACGCAGGGCTCAAAGGGTTGATAACAGAATAACAGCGAAAACTGTAGTTCAGTGCGGCAATGCATGCGACTCAACTCTACGCCCTGAGACCCACTTTGCAACACGCTCTTCTTATGAGCAAACTTACTACTCATAGTGAATGGACAAGTCTATGTTCAACAGTGTAGAGAAGATTAATCGTTTTCTACGTAACACTTTATTCATCACTATTTCAAGTCAAAGTCGTTATTTATCCTCAACACTTTCTACCACCTTCTCTTCCACTCAGATCACAAAACTTCCTCATCATTACTACATGTCATCTCTCCCTTGAATGTCTCCGGAGCATTTTATTGTATTATACTTAATAAAGATTTAAAAAAATAACCTACTCTGATATTCATAAAAATGATAGTTTCATCGTGGTATGAAAGATTTTCTGATAGAAAAACCCATTCCCAACATGAAATGCCGAAACCCATTGTTAGGCAGGTGGATTCAACTCAGCCGCCAATGATCATTGGCTGTGTGTGAAGCATAACATTAATTTTGGTAAGAAGATATTTAATAGGATTATAACTTTCTGTTTATAATAAAAAAATAGTTTAATTATTTTCTCACTGAAACGCTGTCTCTCAGAAAGATCGCATTTCTTTTTCGACACGCAAGCCTCACAAACAGTTTTAATTAACTTATTTGAAGTTTCCATATATATTTTTTTCTAGAAGAACCTTGGAAAAGCTAAAAATTGCGTTTCGTGTCTTCGAAGAAATAGATTTTCGTTAAAGGATTTTTAATATCAACGCATCCTAAATTAATAAAGTCTCAGTTTTTTTTGAATGCTTAAAAAATATTTAAAAAATTATAAGATTAAATATTGCTTTACGTTCTGAAGCTACATTTTAAGTTTTTAATAATTTTTATCGCTTTATTAAATTAGATGTGCAATTACTAGCCAAATATAAATTTCATAAAATAGAAAATCTTTTAGACAAAATACGATATTTAATAGATATAATACAATGGAATATAGATAGAATAATAAACTGATGCAAAGGTTTCCAGCATTTTTGAGAAAATATTTTATTCATTAGAATTCATAGCATTATTATTCAGCTCTCATCTCTAATCTGCATATCTAAAAAGTATGTAGAACTGATGGTATCCCTGCAATTGTCTTTAAGAAATATGCCCCCGAAATGGCTCCTGCGCTCACTAAACTGCAAAAGAAATTCCTCGATGCCTCTTGATTTCCTGCTTGTTGGAAATCTTCCTCTGTCGTTCAAGTGTTTAAGAACCCAGTTGAACCAGCTAACCCTCCGAACTATTTGCCTATTAGCTTTCTACCTGTTGAAACTTGACTAATGCATGGAATAATAATGCAACACAAAATGTACTTAGAACAAAATGTATTGAAACAAGAAAGTGCACACAATATTTACATATAGTCTTTTGTATATTCCTGGTAAGACTGTTCCTGGAGAATGTGTTGACTGAGTCGCAGTCGGGCAGAGTCTCTGGTTTAATCTCTTGATTCCTCCCTCTCTTCCCGGTATCAACCATATTTATATGGTCGGTACTCCACTATGCAAATTAGGTGGATCCTACCACAACACTACCTCTCTTTAGTAAGCGGTTACAGGCCCTAATAAAACTCTGAATTGGTTAATCATCACACATCGCAGGGTTTTCTTTCAGAAAATCAATATGGCTTTAACTTCTCTAGGTCAACTGCTGATGTACTAACGATTATTGCTAAAAGTATCTTTCAATAATTTAGATAAGGTCGGTGAACCCTGGGATATTGCTTTGGGTACCTCGAAAACGTTGGACTGGGTTTGGCATACCGAGCTTCTTCATGAATAGCAGGGTTATAGCATACCGGGGGGGGATTTTTTGAACTGGTTCAATTTTTTCTTATCAAATCTAGAAATGAAACTTGTCCTGAACGGAAAACTCTTCGACCCCCTTTCTTATTAAAATATCCACCACCAGGACTCTCTATCCTTGGACATACTTGAACCTATTTATAATTTTCATCAACGATCTTCTTGATGACATCAGTGTTATCTATGCCGATGACACAACCATTTACTCCAGTGTCGATAGAAAGCCTGATCAGATCGATAACGTCAAATTTGCAACTGATCTCAATAATGAACTACAGTCCGTTGTTAACTCGGGCTAGGAATGACTTGTTAGTTTTAATGCCTACAACTTCTCCATGAACGACCATATCCTGCCTTCGATCAGTATAGCTGATACTAAACTCCATGAGGTAACCTCGGACTTACATTTTCGGCTGACGTGAAGTAGGAAGATTATATCGGGTCCATTGCTAGGTTTTCTGCTAAGAAAGTTGGTTCACTGTGACTTGCTAGGCAATTTCCCCATCAGAATCGATCTTACATATTAATAAGTCTACAATTCATCCACGCTTTGGATATTGATGCCACATATGGTGCTTCTGCTGTATACTTAGAGATCCTTTATAAAATCCAAAGACGTTTCTGCAATGTTATTGGCTCTGATTTAATGTTTTGGCTTCAATCACTTTCTCATCGTACTAATGCAGCTTCACCGTGTCCTTTCTATAAACACTTTCATGGTAACTTTTCGGATAAACTTTCCTCTACGGTACTCAGATTTTTATATTTTTTATTGCAGTACTAGATTGGCATTGAGGTCTCAAATTCCCAGTTGAATTTACTATATGTAACGATAAGTTTTATGCTAACAATTTCTTCTATTACACTTTTCGCTTTTAGAACACTCATCCTGCTCTATGCTTTCCATCGTACTTTGATCTTCCAATATTTAAATGCAATGTCAATCGTTATCTACTATCTTCCTCATTAACCATTTATTGTTCTCGTTCTTCAATAAATATGTCTCATTTTCTTATTCTTTCACACTCATTAACACCTTGTATCTTAGTGGCTTTACTAACTTGCATAGGGTGATATAATTTAAAATTAACACAGTATGTTTCTGTTTTCTGTGATTGTATAACATCTCTTATAAGCGACATTGTTTTCTTCCATGATAAAATTATTTTGCTTTTGATTCGAGGAATTCTTCACGATATTTTCAGTATTGATGGGATATGGATGGTTCTTTTTGTAAGATTCAACCAAGTCTTATTAGTCAATGTGATTGGCGTGTATGGAAGTGTTCCGTGTCTAGAATGAAGTTTATTCAACATTAAATCTCTTCGGCGTGTGCAAAAGTTTCAAGATTTAATGTATTAAGAAAAACAGTTTTCTACCGTCTTATTCCTTCTATAGTTAATAAAAGGTGACACTGGCAACTTTTGCATATATTTGATATATATTTTAGCAGTAGTGATAAGAACGAATGAAGTAGACATTTAGAAATCATCAGTGCCAATAATCTTTTGGGATCAAGGAGATTTTCGATGTATAAGTCTTCTAAATTTCTCCTGCAAAAAAATGGCACAAGTTCCTTTAATAGCTTTATTGAGTTGAGATGCACGAAAAATATACGAAATAATGAAGAGTCTACCGACCCCCCACCACCAAACAACCAGAAACTCTGGACACAAAAACGATGACGAAAACATTTTGAATAATGTATGGTGTGATGAAAAGAATAAACAACAAAAATAAGACAACAGTCAGAATTGAATGAATTAAAGAATTTTATCTCAGAATATTAGAAAACTGCAGAGATTTCAACGATAGTCGAAATAATTCATGAAATAATGAAACGCTTGAAGTGAAGATGGCGAAAAACAAAGATGAAGACAGAAGTATGAACAATAATGAAATATTTAATCCGAGAATGCCTGCAAAAAGCATAGTTAAAAAAATCATCGGAATATTATATGAATTAATATAGCTCAGAACTTAAAGATTTAAAACTTGTTTAGTAACTGATATTGTAAATTATATTTATCATTGATTTTATCCAAAGTATATATTTCATTCTTTGCCAATCTATCTATCTATCTATCTATCTATCTATCTATCTATCTATCTATCTATCTATCTGTTGTGGATTCCGGGATGAAATCCGGTACGAATAAATAACAAACGCCAAGAAGGAATATAGGAAAATAAATGTATTAACGTAATAATACAAACTTGTAAAGCAGGTTAGTAGTTCCAGAAATGCGGGTTAGTAACAAAATATATATATATATATACAGTCTTTGGTATAGACATATCACTGTATAACATCTTACTGAGTCTACGTGCTTGCTCACTGTGACTCTTGCTCGTTCGTTCTTCTTTCTCGTTCACTAGCAGTAGTATATGTATATCCTGGGTGAGTCCATTTGTGTAAAAAGGGGAGAACCCCTCAACACTATCTGCTTTTCCTGAAATCTATCTATCTATCTATCTATCTATCTATCTATCTATCTATCTATCTGTTTTTCCTCAAACTATCTATGTATCTTTCTATCTATCTATTTTTCCTCAGAGCAACACTTCGGATCACTTCTTTCTAAACATTCTGTCATCCATTCCTCTGCCCAGTCCTTCCGGTCTGCTTCCGTTGCCGTCTTTGAGTTGATCGATGGCGATTTTGATGGTCTACCTCCTGATGTTTTCCCATAATATGGATTCCATATTATATGCTGCTATACAATTATTTTTCTTTACTTATCTCGAAATAACTAATAACTCACACATTTGCCTTTTTTGTTCTTAATCTCTGTTACGTTGGGAAAAGTCGTAGTGTATAAATGAAATCCATCTGTGCTACATAAGAAATAATTCATTTGAACGTCTTTGTGTCTCATGTGGCTGGAATTAACTAAATTTTTTCGTTAATTGGCTAATCTTTTCTATTAATCCAAAAATAGACAGTTTCGCTTTCCTTGTGGATTAACCAGTTAAGATAGGCGGTAGAATCAAACGGACGAGTGACTGTGGAAATAATATTAAAATGTCTTCGATTGTCTGAAAACATTTTGGAATACTAAATATATGTAATACGGTTCATTTCGTCGTATCTTTGCTGTTCAGACAACAAGACGAATTAAATTAGAATGTTAAAAAGAACCAATACAAGGTTTTTAAAACTTATATCATCGATAGGAGAGAACGTGTGAATAAAAAAATAAATAAACGTATCCTTACAATCAGAACGAGACAATTTTTAAAACACATAATTAGTAAAGTGAGCCTAGAGAAATTAAAACACACAAAACGTAATAAAGAAACGAGAAACTAGAGGCAACGTCGAGCAACCTACGTGTCATTGTAGTGCTGAAAAGAAAGTTGAATGATAAAAGTTTAAGAATTACTTAAAAAAAACAAAAGATAGGAATCTGTGGAGAGCTATGATCTGTCATATCTCTAAAGGAATTTGTATTTAATAGAAACGTGATAAGAAGCGACGATATTGGCGCTAAAAAGAGGGCCTGTCATCAGAAAACAGCTGAGGGAAAAGTACAAAGGTTTTCTTTATGTCCTGATTATTGCAAGTTGCGAGCAATTTTTCTTGTCAACAACAAACGCCAACCTCTTAGGTATTACGCACCGTTTATTTGAAATTGCGATAAACACGAACGTCTGTTATAATAAAAAGGACAATTTTAGAACATTTGTATATGATTCAAAGAAAGATTTAAAAATTAAGCCGGATTATCCCCCCACTCTCTCTCTCTGAGACATTAATATCTCTTCTTCAAACTTCAATCCAGACAGAAAGGTTCTATTCTCTAAATAAGCTTGATTGATTCGTTTTCTACGGCGTATCAGTCCTTTTCAGGTTATTTAAAGCCAGGAAATATTCTTTTTAGACTGTAAGAATGTTTGTTTGAGATAAAAATGGTTTCGTGATACAAGTTTTATTAATTAACCCATTGCTGGAGAGAGAAGAGGTGGATTCACAAGGATATTTGCGCGTAAGTGAATATAACGAACACTGCTGGAACTTGAACTCAGCTCTCCGATTAACAATTCCGAGCCATTATCTATTACACCACCGCATACAAGCTTACAGCACCAGATATTCCAAAGAGGTCACCCATCTAGATAGTGACCAGTCTCAACCTTGTTTAACTTCGACAAGTGAAAACCACGTTAACAAAACAGATAGATCAATGGTTTAAATTTTTTCTGAAGTAATTTTGCAATTCTGGAGACGGAATAAGAAGCAGTTCCAATGCAGAAAATATTCAATTCATTTATCAAGAATATATCCAGCGTTATTAACTTGTAGAAGCCGTCTATGAAGTTAATTCTTTTAATCCAAGTTGAAAGAATCTGTGGTTGTTGAATGAAAGAATGCTCTTCCCTACTTACCATTAACACTGTAAGTTTTCTTGTGATTTGATAAAATGGAAAATTATGGTTATAAGCAGGTTCAACGAACAAGATGAGATTAAAATATACTACCTTATCAATGTGAGCTTTTCCTAAATTTAATCTAATTAAGATCGGCTTGCATTGTCCCTCGAAAAAATGGCATATTTTCTGCTAACTAGATTAGGGTATCTGTTCATAATTTCCCATTCGTTGCTGGCAAAATCAGGATCCTTTCTCAATGTTTTTTGTAATTGTAAGAAATCATAACAGACGAAATTGTTCATATAGTGGCAACTTTCCAATCAAGCCAAGTGGATCTTGAATTTTAATGGAAATATAGTTGATTCCCTCTAAGGACATATACGTTAACCGCAGTATTGTCAAATTTAGATCAGGCTATGAAAAAAAACTCCACTGATTCAACCACACCACATTTTTTAATAAACCTGATAATTTAGGTGACATCAAAAAATGAAAGCCTAAAATATTGTTTGATATTCATAAATTTATCCCATCACATTTATCCCTTCACTATAGAAGGAGACCAAGCACATTGAGAGCATTTTGTTTTCAGAATTGGAAAGAAACTCCAACTAAAGACATTCGAATTGAATTCATCTTTTCCATTGTACATGGCACTGCTGGAATATCAAAAGGGACTTAAATAACATTGAACATGACAGAAAATCAAGAAAGAGAAAATTTTTAACATAGTTCTTACGTCCACGAGCGTTTTATTTCTGCTGTTAGTTTATTAAAGGATTTGATGAAAATACTTGTTGGTCTTGGTATATTTAATCGTGTTATTTTTAAAGACTTAAATGTTTAATTGTTATTGCAAAAATAATATTTCTCAATAAGCAGTCTAATATTTGTTGATTTAAATACAAATTGAGAGGTTCTGAGATTTGATTTTGAGAACAATTGTCATCGGTCAATATCATATATACAGAAAACAAATTAAGAAATGCTTTTTTACAAAAATGAGGCATTTCTGTACAGCAAAAACCGTAGCTAACCAAGAAAAAGGAAGGTGATTTTCAGATTCAGTGACCTCAAATTGTATAAAAAAGATGTTTGGTGTCGCGACACCACTTCAAAAATGTTTTTGTAGAGCAGTGTAATCTATGATATGTATCGACGTATTCCCAATTGAATACAAGCTTATGTACGATCATGCAAACGAATCTATGTACATAGAAAGGTTTGAATAAATTTGATGTAAAATATTCACTGTATAATGCTCGATTCCACGTGGCTAAGATTCATCACTGAGTTAAGTGTCTTAAGGTATAATCACACACACACAATCGCACACATACACACACAGACTAAATATTCTGTACGCAATTTTGTGGGTGAGTAGGTGAAGATAATAATGGTTTTAGTGATACAAGTCTCACTAATTAACCCATATCTGTTAGGAAGATGTGGAGTCATACATTTCTCACGGCTCAGCCATTAGGTACTGACCAGGGTCGATGTTGCTTAACTTGTTTCAACGTGATATGGCCGTAAGCCTAGCACGTGCGTGAGTGTGTGTGCGTATTTGTACGAGTTCATTATTTGAGTGAGTTTGTGTGCGCTTTGGGTATGCGTATGCATTCTGTGTGTGTGTGTGTGTGTGTGTGTGTGTGTGTGCGTGCGTGCGTGTGCGGTTAACTGCAATAGCGAAATCATTATCGGCACGGTAATTCGAATCGTCCGACCGAGTATAAATTACACATATTTCTGTTTCATTTCGCACTAGTCCTCTTTGGAAAAAAGCATCATCCTCATTCCTCATTCTATGGGTTAAAGAACAGTTCCAACTGTGTCGTACCAAAACGAGCTGGAAAACTTTGAATTCAAACCCGAGGAGGATTTTTTTGGGGAAATTTTGTGTTGCACATGTTGTGCCATCTTTCTGTTATGATCTTTCCAAAAAAGTGTGTCAGGATGTAGAAAAGTCTTCACCATTTTAATCCAATTATTTGGGTGCGTATTTTAACAGATCTTCTCTTACCTTAACTGTTGATTCCTCAGACATCGAAATCGAATAGCTATTCAATATTATATTAACTACTTAACTCTGAAGATATAGAAGTTTAATTATCTTTCTGACATACTCTTCTCCCGTACCCACATTAGTAGAAGTACATTTGGGTTGTAGAAGCGTTTTCCATGGTGAAACAAGTGGATAGAGTTTGGGTTTCCTGTCCGGAAACATGACGTTTACTTAGTAAGACTCTTCGATTTAGGCCGGTTGTTATTAATTTCACTGCTAAAAAAAACAACAATAAAAAAACCCCAAAAAAACGAAAGGGGTAGTAATTCAAACATGTGTACCCATTAAAATTATATATATATATATATATATATATATATATATATATATGAAAAAAATATAGTTTTAAGGTGTGCTATATTTATGGGATAAAGTGCTCAATATCAGAGATAGAGCGTATGTAAATATTAATATAAAAGTGAACATTGAAGCTAACACTCAGAGACGCCAAGCTGTTTCATGCTAGAAGCAATCGGCGGCCTGACGATTCCGTCTAGCATGAAACAGCTTGTTGAGTCTGAGTGTTGACTTCAATGTTCACTTATATATATACAGAGTGTATCAGAAAAATTGTCCATTTGTCCAATTGTTAGATTAAGCTTTGAAACTTGATATTTTAGAAATAATTAAAGATATATTAGAGGAATTTTCTGAGGTATTTATAACATTATTGGACTCTACTTTGTACAGTAAGAATGTATAATTATTTTCCAAGCTTAACAGAAGTATCGTGATGAAAATGATCATAAACAAAAATGACACGTTCATTAATTAATCCTAGCTAAGGATCGGAAGCTCATGAAGAACTGAAATTAAGTTCAACTATATATATTATTCCAAGATTATTTTCTAACTTACTCAAGATGGTCTTAACCCTTTCTAATCTTCTAATTTTCTGTCCTAGAGCAACAATGTGTCTCAAATGTTTCACCTACGATTCCATTTTCAAGTCTTTTACTTAATGCTTGTTGGACTGTCACATCTTTCTCACGTGCCAAACGTCTTATGAATTGAGTTGCATGTTTTCTAATTGATCTCTTAGGCGCTAAGTTGAAATGATGATCCTTTTTTCTTTTCTGACCTCCTAATCCAGCTTTCCTCTCTACTGTCCCCTCTTTTTAAAACGTACTGACCGTTCTCTTGATGGTTCTTGAGTAGAAGCCAGAGTATGCATATTGGTAC